CCTGTGAATGGGCAGGGGTGGGGGGAGCTCGCCCTCACCCCTTGAAGCCTGTGCAGGGAGAGATACTGGGGTGGACGGAGGGGCCCATGTGGAGGCCCACAGGTGCATGGGGCTAAGTGGGGACAGGGCCAGAAGGCCTGGAGGAGCAGGGGACAGGGCAGCGGGGGGCCCGGTCTGGAGATCCGGCTTCGCAGGAGGTGGGTCCGAGGAGGTGCGGCTGCGGGAGGGGAGGCAGAGCAGAACGGCAGGAAGTCACCTGCCCGGGGGGAGTTTCCGCCTGTTGGCGGTGGGTCAGCGGTCCGCAGGGCGTGCGCGCGGGGGTGCCTGCCCACGTGGCCTTCCTGCCAGGACGCTGGCCCTGGAGGCAGGGACACCACCCCACGGCCACCGGGGGCCCAGCCCCGGGCTGTCTCCTCGTCCCGTCACTCTCTGGAGCTGGGGGCTTGGGGAGGAGTAGCGTGGCCTTGCCCTCCTGGGCCGTTTCCTCACCAAACAGGCTGGTTCTCTGTCTAGGAAGGCGGTGTGGGCTCCCACTTCCTTTGCCAGAAACTACCCCAGGCAGCCCTGAGCTGACACAGGGGCCAGGCCCCGGCACCCCACTCCAGCTGTTGTCAGCCAGCCCTGCCCCCGGCTGCCTTCAGTGGGGTGCAGTGGTGCGGGCCAGTCCCACTCTCCTACCTCAGACACTTGCACAAGTGCGGGGGGGTGGGGGGTGACAGCTTAGCTGGGAAAACAGGCTAATTTCCGTCAGTACCAACGCTGGAGCCAGGGGGCTCAGAGGGGTGAGCGTGATGGGGGCTCAGAGGGGTGAGCGTGTGATGGGGGCTCAGAGGGGTGAGCGTGATGGGGGCTCAGAGGGGTGAGCGTGTGATGGGGGCTCAGAGGGGTGAGCGTGATGGGCGTCTCTCAGGAGGTGTGAGCATGATGGTGGGGTCTCAGGGGGGGTGAGGGTATGACGAAGGGTCTCAGAGGGGTGAGCATGGTGAGGCTTGGAACCTCAGGGGAGCGTCCTGATGGAGGAGCTCTGTGGAGATGATGATCTGGAAAGGGGAGCCCTCCTCCCCGAGTGTGGGGGGCATCCAGCATGGGCAGCAAATGCAGAGTAACTCCGGGTGTCCTCCAGGGCCAGGACTTCCACCTCGTTTGAGACTCAGACACCCACTTTGTGGCTGTGACCAGGATTTGAGAAACCAGAATAGAAAGTGTCTGAGGGCCATATTCCCACCACAGGGACCTGTCCTGAGACACTTCTGTCTTACTCACACGCAACCATCCTGGATCCCGAAGATTCCTTGTGTGGGGTCCCGGCTCCAGAGGCCTCTACAGCGCTCGGGCACCTGGGGTCCGCACCCCACTCTGCCCGACTTCCCACTCCGGGGGGGGCCCCACAGACCGCAGGGAGGGCTGGTGGAGGCTGCGGTGTGCGCCGGCCTCCCGAATGCCACCACAGGTTTCTTTCAGGTCATTGCAAAGGTAGTTCAGCGCAGAATCGAGGGCGCCTTTCCACGAGGGTGGGGAAGCTGACTGATCTCAGCATCAGGAAGGAAGTGGTGCGCTCAGGTGCTGCTGCCTCCCCCGCAGCCTCCCCCTGCAGGAAACTCAGAGCCTCTGGCTACTGAGCCCTCACTGTGAGGGCCCTTCTTCCTGTGCTCCCTGCAGGAGAGGACCACAGACACGCTGTTCTGCCAGCTCTCCAAGGGCATCCACCTGGCCAACAGGCACATGAGCATCAGCCTGGTCACGGCCATCGCTGTGGACCGCTACGTGGCCGTGCGTGTGCGCCCGGGGGCTCCGCTCCCCACGGCAGGCCGCAGCCGTGTGCACGGCGCTCTGGGTGCTGGTAGCCAGCTTGCTGGGGCTGCGCTGGGCCCTGGGGGCACAGGTGGGCAGCTTCTGCTTCTCCAACAGCTCCCGGCAAGGCTCCAACACCGTGGCCTTCTGGCTGCTGGGCTTCTTACTGCCGCCGGCCGTGCTGGTCCTCTGCTCTCTGCCGGTGGTCACCGCCCTGGGCCAGAGGCCAACCGCCAGCCCCGACCAGGCGGAAGCAACCTGGAGGGCCACCCACATGGTCTGGGTGAACCTGGCCGTGTTCGTGGTCTGCTTCCTGCCCTTCCGCGTGGCGGCCTGAACACCTCTGCCATCTGCTATACCTTCTGCATCACGGGCGAGCCTCAGATGCCAACTGCTGTCTGGGCACCATCTGCTACTACTTCATGGCCAAGAAGTTCCGGGAGGCATCTTCGCTGGCCTCGATGCCCACTGCCAAGGCCCACAGAACCAGAGCTCTCTCTGTGCAACCCTCGCCTAGGAGACCAGTTGTGGGCACATGGGCCAGGTCCCAGGCTCTCCGGGAGGTCCTGCCTGCTGGGGCATCCCTGAACTCGCTGTGGCCACTGGGTACGCTGCAGGGGGCCTGGCCGGGTGGAGAGGACCCGGGCACGGAACCCGCGGTGGTGTCACCCTGACCCCTGGGATGGAAGAGGGTCGGGACCAGGGCAGGACTGAGGTCTGAGTGAGGCCAATCCCAGCAGCCCTGGGATGGGGCCAACACTGCAGCGCCCAGAAGTCTGGTACCCTTGGGTACTGGGGTAGATGTTTGCTCTGTGCTGCGAGGCCGCAGTGGGCCTGAAACAAAGCTGGCCCCCAGGGCTGGGCCTGGCCCTGTGTGTGTGCATGCGTGCACGTGCTCCCCACACTCTCATGGTGGGAGGGCTGGGGTGTCTTCCTAGATGGCTCTCAAGGGCTCTCTACCCAGGGGCTCTCCTTGAGCCCCCCACCTCTTCTCACCCCCGCCCTACTCCCAGCCATCTGCGGGTCTCGCGGGGGCTATTTGCAGCCCCCGGAAGGGCCGCGCTGACAGCCCGCTTTCCTCCTGCCGAGGGTCAGGACCCCTCGACCCCCTGTAGGGGCTGCACTAGGCTGGGGGTGGGTTGGGGGCAGTGAGGAAGTGCAGTGACAGGCCAAGGTCTGTCGAGGGGCACACTCCCTTGGGCTCCCTTCAGGGAAGCTGGAAGACCCTGCCCGGTGGCCGCAGGGCCTGGCGGGAGCGTGGATGCCCAGGCTGGTGTGTGTTGTACCCACCCCTCCTCGGCCTCCCTGCACTCAGCCTGGAACCACCAGAGCCTTCTAGAGGCCCCCCGTGGCGCCGGTCCAAGTTGGGCCTGGGCACCAAACAGCCACACTGTCCTGTTCTTCTGCCCGTGTGCTCAGAGCCAGAAGGGCAGCCATGTCCCGGCCTCGGGCGCCTGCCGCTGATGCAGTCCCTCAGGTCCCGGGGTCAGGGGCGCTGCTGAGAGGGGCCCATGCTCGGGGATGTCCACACTCGGGGGATCTCTGCTCGGGGGTGGGGCACTCAGGGAGCCTGTGCAGCTCGAACCCACTGCTGTCCTAGCCTGGGGCTCAGATGCTTCCCCCCACCGCCGCTGGGGACCCCCTCCCTTTGTCACCTTGGGTAGGTAGTGCCTACCCTGCCCACTGACGTGCACCAGGGCCGGGCAGGCTGCATTCTGTCCCGAGAAAGCATAAAGATGGCCAGGCGTGTCCAGTGGAGCAGGGCAGGTGTGAGCAAGGGCGAGTCTGCAATGGACCTCTCCCCACCCCCCCACAGGCAGACCACCTCCCTCTCCTGCCCCATCCTGCACCCCGACACAGGCACCGGCCCTCGGACTAGGAGCCCCAACCTCCTCCCAGGCTCCCCATGACCCCCCACACCCCTCACCCCATCCAGTGCTCCCCACCCTCGTCCTGCCGGCACCCCCTACGCCGGCACCCGGCCTCTCATCACAGCCCTGCCCTTCCAGAGGCAAGGCCAAGTGGACAGTTCCCAGGCCATGACCTCTACTGCCCTGACCCTCCAGGGTTCTCCTTTTCCAAGGGACCACAGAGCCCAGAGAAGGTTTCTCACTGTAGGGTGGGGTGACCATTGGGCTGAGCAGCGAGCCAGGGCCGGGTGTAGATGTCCAGGGCCGTCCTTGGCCAGATTTGGGGATCCAAGGAGAGAGGCAGAGTAGGGCCTGGGGCTCCGCTTCGCCCCCTGCCCCCGGCTCAGCATTGTGGGGGGAGGGGACGCCCGGTGGCCAGTGTAGAGCAGCCATGGAAGAACAGAGCTTTAGACCAAAGGCTGACAGGCCGGGTGACAGGAGCTTCCCAGAGCCTGGGTTAAGAATTCAGAACCTCGCTCTGGGCTCAGGGAGCAGTGCTACCTGCACAGGTCACGGCTGAGCCTGGCCCTGCTTCTGCGTGTGTCCGCCGGGGCTGTCCTTGCAGGGGCGGAGAAAGTGAGGGTGGGCAGGGGAGACCTCCACGGGGTCTCCTGGTGGCAGCCTGGTGCTGCTGGGTGGCGGGGGGAGGCCGGCTGTGCTCCGAGGTCACCAGCCTCCTGAGGTGCACGCTGCCCCACCTTGCTGGCCCCCGTCCACGGCTGGGAGACAGGATGTGCACACCTCCGTCCCTCAGGCCTCTCTGGGCTCCCAGTAAGGGCAGGCAGCTGGACTTGCACGGAATTCCGGAAGGAACGAGAAAAGGAGCAGAGGCAAAATCACAGACGGTAAGCATCCAAAGAACGGACTTCTGAACCCTAATCCCGGCCCACACACTCTGAGAGGCCTCTCCCTAACGCCCCCCACCCTAGCCCAGAGGCCTCAGGGGCCAGTCTGGCACACTGAGCAGGTCTGGGCTCACCGTTAATTAGCAAGCCACAGGCACCTGAAAGCGGATTCACTTTGCGGCTGCATCAGCAGGAATATAGGGCCCAGAATGTGGGAGGGCACCGGTTCATTCTCCCCCTGCTAGGATTACACCTAGGGTACTTTTTCTGGCTAGGGACACTGGCCTGTAGCGTGCCCTCGTCACCTGGCAGGGGGTCTGGAGAGTACGGGCTGAGGGCTTGGCAGTAGCCAGAGGAAGTGTGAGCAGCAGATGAGTGAGGTACCCCCCAGAAGGCAGGTGGCGTGTGCGGTCTCCAAGGAACTGACAGGTCTGGGTGGCTGTGGAGTAGAGCAAGGTGCTCCTGGGGGGGCCATGTCACTTGATTCCTACTAGTCCGTATGTCATCGGCGATGTCCGGTGTCTCTGGCTCTTTCCTCTGGGGCAGTTTGCGTCTCGGTGAAGGCTCTCTCTTCCTGTCCCCGTTGGGGGTTGAAGCATGGCCGCAGCAGGTCTCGGCAGAAGGTAGTCTGAGGGAGACCAGCCACCAGCGGGCAGAGCTGCCCTTGGTCTCCTGTTCTCGGGGACCCACCTGCGGTGCCCCAGAGGAACTCTTCCTAAGAACATGTGCCCATCTTCTACGGGGCAAGGGCGTATCAGCCAGAGACAGTGCCGGAGCGAATGGGGTGCTGCGGGGTGTGGGGGCTGCTGCCCAGCCTCCAGCTCAGCCCCCTGCAGCTGCAGGGCAGAGTTTGGGGCAACGCAGGGAGGGGGCAGTGGAAGGCAGAGTCGAGCCGAGTGGAAGGTCAGTACTTCAGGAAACTACTGCCCCCATTTCCCAAGTGACCATCTGGATAACGGCCCCCAACTCTGACCACGTGAACCCCACGTGGGGGAAGCGTGCTGCAGCCTCTCCATTTTGTGCGGGTGCGTGGACGGCACCTACCCCTGGCAGCAGAGGAGTCTTCCTGCTCCTGCCTCCTCGGGAGGGTACACAGGAAGGCGCAAATGACACTGATGACCAAGAGACCCCCCCCCCGGCAGGGCTGGGACCACATACCTCTCAGAGTGAAGGGGTGTCCTCGCCCTGCTTTCAGAGCCCCTGCCGCACACACAGCGCCGGACGCGCCAGCCCCCATTGCCAGGTCTGTGTGGCAGGCTGTCCCTCCCAGCGTCGCCCGAGCACCCGCCCCCAGCTCACCCACCTCACGGCACACAGGGTGTGTTACTCCACTGTGAGGTGTCCCAGATTCACGGGAGGATGTGCTCCCCCACACGCCCCTGCTTCCCTCCAGCTTCTCCTGAGCTGGCGGCAGGTCTGTTTCCTCTGGCTCCCTTCCTCCTGCAGGTGGTCAGGCAGACCCCCCACTCCTTGGGGGCTGCTGGTGTGGCCAAGGGCAGGGCCACCCTGGCTCGGGCAGGAATACACCCTTGCGTCAGGGTAGCTTCCAGAAGTCTCCAAGATGGCAGCTTGCACGCAGGGGTTTCCCGGGGAGTGCTCTTGGGAGCCCCACCCATAACGGGGCTGGCAAAGCGGAATGGGCCAAGGGAGCAGCTTCTGTGCCCGTGGGGTGCTCTGTGCAAAGATGCGCAGCTGACCCCACAGGGTTACCCCGGACACACTGCCTCTGATGCATGCATCACTTGTTGAAGGCAAGTCTGGAGGGGCCTTGGGCTGTGAACTCTGGCAGTGTGTGCCTTGGTCATGACGGGGGGTCCCCAGCAGCACCCCACGGCATCCACTACAGCCTGCCACCTTGTCAGGCTGGGTGCCTGGACCCCTGAGCTGCAGCTCCCCGAGGCTGCGGGGGTGGGTCTCCGGGTTCTCCAGCCCTGAACGGGGCAGGCTTCCTGTCCGGAGTCTCCCCAGCCGGTGCCAATGACGGATGCGCACAGGTTGGGGGCACCACCTGGCCAAAACGGACCTCCTGGAAGCTGCACGCAGGCCCTCCTCCACCCCGTGTAAGAGGCCAGTCTCTGCAGGCTGCAAGCGCCCTCGCTCCTGGCCCTGAGCTCCAGGCGGCTGCAGAGGCGGCCCAGGGCTGTGGTCAGGAAGTAACGTTGTGCAGGATGTCACGAAGAGCGTGCAGACACAGAGAGCCAGGCACACAGGGACCGGAGAAGGGGTTCCTGAGCAGTGGCGCCCCCCTGCCAGCCGCCCTCAGACATGTGACCACACCCACTCACAGAGCACAAAGGCGGTGATCACAGCCTTGGGGTCAGCGTGCAGCCTGAGCAGTCCGGCTGTGCGGAGAGTGGCCCAGCCCAGCTCCCTGAGGCCCCAGCCATCCCAGACTGGTGAGTGCACCCCAAGCCTGCCGTCCCCCTGCTGTCCCCTCCATGAGCCCTGTCCTGCCCTCACCCTGCTGGCCACCACAAAGGGCTCCCAGGAGCAGGGCCCCGGGCTTCCCATGGGAGGACCGTGCCGAGCTCCAAGCCCAGGCAGGCATAGGGCGATGGCTGAGGGGACAGTTAGCCTCTGTCTAAGGTAAGATGGGGGGGGTAGTGGGGAGCAGAGGTAGAGAAGGAGGAAGAGGGAGAACGGGGGAGATGGGGTGAGGAGGGGGAGAGCGTTTGGTGGGGGGAGGGGAAAGGAGGGCCCCAAGGAGGAGAGCGGACAGTGAGAGGGAGGGAGGCACACACACAAGCAGGGAGACCAACAGAAAGTCAGGACAGAAGACGGGGTCGGCCTGGGGATCCCACTGCTCTCCTGATGGGCTGGGGGTGCTCCCTCTCTGCAGACCGGCCTGTGGCCCCTGCCGAGGAGCGTGGGGGCCCCACTCCATGGGCCATGGCCGACGGTCCTTGGACAGGGCCACGGGATGCCAGGGGGCGGCGGGGGGAGTAAAGTGGCAGAGGTCTTGGGCTGGGCTAAAGCCTCTGGTGGAGAAACCCAGAGAGGAGCCCCCACAGAGCTCCCTTCCGTGGCCGGGGGCCGCCGTCCACACCTGGAATCTAGTCCCTCTGGGCGGGGCAGGGGAGGTGGCCTCAGTGGAGCTTCTTGGGGTCGAGAGAGGGAGCCCTTGGGGCTGTTACTGGAAGTGGGGGAATCGGGGGAGACAGAGAGCCGGGCCTTCGAGGAGGAGGAGCAGGACCACAGCAGCATTTCCCTCCCTGCCCCCAGGTGAAGCTGGTCACCCCCGCGTGGCTGGAGCCCCCACTGGCTCCCCGCCGCCTGTCAGGCCGTGCGCCCTCATGGCCTCCGGGAACAGCCTTCACGGCTGCGTAGCCGCCCCGGGCGGGCGCGTCCTCTCCCAGGTTACCAGGGTCTCCATCTGCTTCATCTTGGCGCTGGGGCTGCCGCTCAACGGCCTCGGGCTCTGGGTGTTCTGCTGCCGCCTGCGCAGGTGGACGGAGACCCGCATCTACATGGTAAACCTGGTGGCGGCCGACTTCCTGCTGCTGCTGAGCCTGCCCGGAGTCCTGCACACGCTGGGCCAGGAGCAGGGGGACCAGGAGGGCCCTCTGTGCACGGTTCTGCAGAGCTTCTACTATGTCAACACCTACATGAGCATGTGCCTCATCACGGCCGTCGCTGTTGACCGCTACACCGCCCTGTGCTTTCCCCTGCGGGTCCGGGCCTGGCGTAGCCCCCGCCAGGCCGCCTTCACCTGCCTGGCCCTCTGGCTGCTGGTCTTTGGGGCTGTGGCCCTGGTAGCGTCCTTGCTGCCTGCAGACGAGAACTTCTGCTTCGGGCAGGGACATAACCGGGCCATCAAGACCCTTGTCTTCTCCCTGCTGTTCTTCTTCCTCTCACTGCTCATCCTCAGCTTCTGCTCGGGGCAGGTGCTCTGGCACCTGCTCCGCAAACACACGCGGGCACCGCCCGAGGAGGCCGGCCGCATCCTCAAAGCCCTCCGGGTAGTGGCCACCAACCTGGCCACCTTTGTGCTCTGTTTCCTCCCACTGCACGTGGCCTTGATGGCCAAGCTTGTGGCCAACTGGACAAGTGCAGCCTGCCCCACCGTCCAGAGCATCACTGACTTCGTGCAGGTGGCCGCCCGCATGGCCAACGCCAACTGCTGCCTGGATGCCATCAGCTACTATTTTGTGGCCACAGAATTCCAGGAAGAGGTGGGGGCCATCCTCAGAATGCCCTGGCCTTTCCAGGGATGGATGCGGGGCGCTCCTGCAGGTGACCACCCGGACCTGGCCGTCCGCGGGGGGGCGGGGGGCAGCTGAGGAGAGCAATGCAGGAGGGGCCCCACACACGGCCCTGCAGCCGGCAGCTCAGGGCCCCCCGGACCCCCCACAAGGCAACTCTTTCCCCTCCTCCATGGCATCCAGAAGAAGTAGCCTCCCTGCTCACAGTGTGACTTTGGATTTATGAGTCCTGGAGATGGGGCTATTGCTCAGCAAGGAGAATTTAAGCAATGAATTAAAGGATCACCACCAGATCTTTCTTCTCCCAGCTCTTGCGGCTTAGCCCCTTGGGCTGCTTCCTTCGCAGTGTGCGCCCCCTTCCCCAACCCCAGCCCTCAAGCTCCAGGATGCAGGGTGACCCTGACCTATGCCAGGCTGACCTCCAACCTCTATGCTCCACCCCTGCAGGTGCTCAGGAAGGGAAGGACCCTCTGGGTACCCAGGTAGCACTCCTTGGCAAGTACTGAGGAGGGTGTTAAAAAAACCACATTTTTCTGTGTCACCTATAGATTATGATTAGACACCAAAATCTATCAAAGTTCCAAGGTCTCTCTTCAGGCCTGTAACACCACTGCAGATAGAATCCCCTAGATCCCAGGGCTGAGGGACGCCAGGCTCTAAGTGAAGGAATGTTTACAGAGACACAGCAGCTAATTAAGTTTAAAGACATTCCTTTGTAAAAAAATGTTCAGTTGTGTTCCTGAAGAGCATCAAAGAGGTCCAGTCCTTACCTTTGGGGTGCTCCTTGGGGCCCCTTGTCCCTCCACACACTTCATACCTCTCAGCACCACTGGCAGCCCCCATCTTCCCACTCTGGGCCAGGCCCGTGGACACCCGCAGGCTGAGCTGAGGGGCCTGATGGCTCCTCTGTTAGCGGGGGACAGGGGGGGCTCTCCCCACAACACTGTGGCCGTCAGGATGTGTCCACCGGGCTGGGGCCCGAGGGTATAGCTGGGAATGGAGTTTCAGGATCAGCACAAACACCTCCACTGAGAAGCGGAGGCAGGAGACAACCCTGAGGGGCTCATGCTGGAGACTGGGGTCCCCAGACGGGGCCTGAGGAAGCAGAAGGAGGTGCTCCCAAGAGCCTCAGGTGACTAGAGGGAGAATGGGAGACTCAGACCCCTGTCCCCTTCCCCCCCACCCTGCTCCTCTCCTCTCTCCCTCTCCCACCCACCCCTGCCACCTGCCCCAGCCTCCTCAGAGCCGTCTGCCTGGCGGGGCAGTCTGTGGGCCCTCCTGGGCATGCCCCCCGCCACACAGACAGAATGAGAGCAGCTGGCCTCCGGGCTGCGCCCCTGGCTGGACCCGTTACCCGCAGCGCCACCAGCTTCCAGGTGATGGAGATGCACGTCCTGACTGAGACAAAGCAGCAGGGCCCTGGACCTGCAAAGTGGTCAGTCCCATTCTGCGAGTGCACCAATGCCCTGGCCTTCTGCTGCCTGCAGACCCAGGCTCACGGGGCCTCCCCGGCCTCCCTGACCTCTGGCGGAGGCTCACCCTCCCCCCGCCCACGCTCCCCCACACCGGCAACACACACTTGCTCTGGTCAAGGACAGCTAGTCGGCGGGCCGCCGAGAGGCCGTCCGCGTGGCCAAGGCTGATGGTGGCATCACTGCCCGTGGCCCCCGCTCCAGCAGCTGTCCTGTGTAGAGCTTCTTGCGGTGCCAGGAGTGCAGCCAAAGTCACTGGCCCCTCCGTCCTCTTGGGGCTGCCAGCTGGCTGACAGGGGGGAGTCAGGCCTGGGCCGCATCGCCCCCTCCCCACACACAGAAATCGCAGGGCATAAAGTCCACCCTACCCGGTCTGACCCTGACCACCAGTGCATGGGGAAGGGGCTCCTGAAAGGGGGTCCCACTGCTCTCCTGATGGGCTGGGGGGGAGGCTCCCTCTCTGCAGACTGGCCTGTGGTGCCTCGGCAGAGAACCCTGAGCGGGAGCGACCCATGGAGGCCCAATCCTCCATCTCCGCCTGTCCAAGCCCCCTCAGGGCAGCGGTGCAGTTTGGCTCAGGGAGGCAGCCACCCACTGTGAGCCCACTGGTGCAGCCACCCTCCCCAGCCGGTGCTGCCCTTCACCCAGGGAGCCCAAGTCCCGCTCTGGGGAGATGCGTGTGGTGGTCCAGGGAGATGGGGCTCTTGCTCCTTGGGGCTCCGGCTGTTGGCAAAACACGTGGGAGGCACATCACCCACTTCTCCACCTCCCCCGTTAGGGTCCCTTCCCCCCAGGAGCAGCCCCCTGGAGTCTAGCTTGCAGGGCTGATCCCTTTGAGACCCAGGCCCTCCCAGCCTGGAGGTAGTGTTGGGGCATAGCAGGCTGGGGGGCCACCATGGGGGACAGGGAACTTGCCAGAGTCTCCTGAACACCTTGAGCGTTGCTTTTCAGCTTGAGGCAGAAGGGACTGCAGTGCTGACCTATCCACCAACAAGGTATACAGGACCTGCCATATGTTGCAGATACTGGTCTAGGCGCCGGGAGCCTCACAGGGTCCCACGGGGGGGCGAGGAGGGGAGAGGCTGGGAAGTGAGCCAGGCTGGATCACAGAGCGCTTTGCAGGGGAGATGCAGGGCTTGGGGGGGTGTTCTGAAGGTGGTGGTGGGGGGCGCCCAGAGGGGTTTACATCAGAGGAGTGAGGAGCGTGGCTGTGCTACAGGTGGGGGACCGGATGGCAGGGCCAGGACGTCAATGGGGGACCAGGGTGGCAACGGTGGGGGCTGGGACTGTGATGGGTTCCGGGATCAGGATGGAGTGTCCAGGCCATCACGGGAGTGCGGCGCCTCGACCAGCCATGGGGAGGCTTCAGCGCAGCGCTGTACAGTAGCGTGGCTGAGGACGAGCTGGGGCTTCCAGGAATTAGGGTGACCCCGTGCAGGCGCGGAGGGGTGTGAGGGCCAGGAGGAAGCAGGGGGCAGGCAAAGGCAGGGGGCCCAGGCAGCGAGGAGGCAGATGGGACCCTCTGCCCTCAGGGAAGCGCTCTCTGGAGAAGGGGGCGGGACTGGCCAAGGGGCCTGCTGTGTCCCCTCTCTCTCAGGGACACGCCCCCACCTCCCACCCCCAGGTACCCGCCGTGGCGTCTTTACGCTTCATTCAGCAGAGCTCCGCCCTGCTCCACAAGCCTTCACGGGCGCGACCGCAGGGGCGGGGCCAAGCAGCCAGGGCCCCGCCCCATGCCCCGCCCCCGCGCCCCGGGCCCCGCCCGCGCCAAACGCCACGCCCCTCCCTCCTTCCTCGCTGGTGGGTTGACCCGGGTCGCAACGTGACACGTCCCCCCTTAACGGTTGCGCATCCGGTGGGGCTGGGGTTGGCTGGTCCAATCCCTTGCTCTTCCCGAAAGAGAACGAGGGGGCGGCCCTTAACCCTGGGCGCCGGGGGCCGAAGGTTCAGGTGCTGTCTTCCCAGATTGGGGAGACCCGCCCCCCTCCCCGACTTGCCCTTCCCGTCTCAGCTGCGCCAGCCAGGATTGAGGATTTAGGTAGTCTATGGAGGGAATACCCAAATCAACAGGGACGCCAAAGCGCAAACAGGCCGTGCGGGGTGCGGGGCTGGGGCGGCGCTGCCAGTGCCAGCAGCCAGCGCGGGGCAGGGTTCTGGGGGCTGCCGTCCTCTCCTGCGGCCCTCTGACCCTCCCAGGGGTCCCCCCGCTCCAGGGCTGGCTTAGTCTACTCGGGCCGCAGTGACGGACACCGCAGACTGCGTGGCTGGGAAACATTTCTTTCTCACTGTTCTGAGGCTGGAGGTCAGACATCGGGGTGCGTCAGGGTCAGGGTTCCCGTGCCTCCTGGTGCAGACAGCCTTCTCACACTGTCCTCACATTGAGGGGCCGGGTTGCTCTGTGGGGGCTCCACCCTCATGACCTCTTCACCTCCCAAAGTTCCCCCCTCCTAATCCCATCACATCTCAACACAGGAATTGGGGAGGGGGCCATTCAGACCCCAGCAAGGAGCAGGTGGTGTATGTAAATACCCTGGCACACAGTTGGCGTCCCAAAGTGTTGGCATCCACTGAGGGGACGGCCAGCCCTCCCAGACCAGCTGCGCTTGGATAGTGGGGTGCCCCCCCTGCCATTTTCCAAACTGAAACCAAGGGTCCCTGCCCTCTGCCCCAGTCACATCCAGCACACACCCAGGATCAGCCTGTCCAGTTATCTTACCAGCAAAAGACGGATTTACTTGAAAATAGGACAGAACGACAAGCCAGGACGAGAGAGCCACGGGAAGCCACGGGCGAGTCCCGAGCACAGAGCAGAGGTGCTCTGTTATAAGGGGAGGTGGGCGGGCCCTTCTAAACCAGAAGTCCATTGGAGTGTACACGGGGAGCTGGGTGTGTAGCGGCTTCTCATTGGCTGGGACGTGACGGTCTCCCATTGGCTGGGCTGTTGTCGGGGGGAGGAGGAAACCTTCCTTCCTTCTCCTAGGACGGTAGGGTATCCATCCACCTGCACCGCCCCTCTCTTCCTCTGGTGAGCGAAAACCTCTCTAAAGCCCTGGTACACAAGGGACGCCGTTTTGGACTTCTTTTAAGTCAGCATGAGTGTATATAACCTTTGCTTAACCACAAACCTGGTTTATGGCCCACCAAGCATCCTTGGTACACCTGCTTTGTAAATGAGTAGCCTAAAGGCAAACCATCTCGTCCTTAACATAGGGATCCATGCTGCTCCTCCCGGCATTCCTTGACCTTAGAACTCATGATTCCGGCCCATGTGTTAATCTATAATGTTTTTGAACTTTTACAAGACTGTACCTCTGACCTACTGATTTGTGGCTCTTTATGTAAAAAGGTATATAAGCCTTGTAAAAACTGTTCATTCTCTGGAACACTTTCTTCCCTGTGAAGATCGTGTTTCCCGGGCAGCTGTCCTAATCTGGGCTTGAATAAAACTATTTTCTTCTTGTATTAGTGTTCTTTCTGGTCAATTTGCATTGTCACCTGTTGGGTCTGCAGTTGACAACCAGAGCTGGGCACGAGAGCTCCCCCTGCTGGCCACCGGACACGCTAACTGACGTTCCCACTTGCCACACCCCTCTCTCCTCTCCCCCAATTTTTACTCCTAGCTGCCCCCTCCTCAGCCCACCGCAGCCTCTGGAAGCCTGCCTGCCACTGCCCTGTTGCCTCTGCCCAGGAGCCCAGTGAGCCTGTGTGAGCCTGCGTGAGCCTAGTGAGCCTTGGTCCAGCAGTCAAACATAATAAAATAGAATTAAAAAAAAAAAAAAAAGAATGTGGTCCTTGATCTCGGCTGCAGGAGTGCAAATTCAGGGGGCGTGCTTACCAGCCTGTTTCCTCTCCGCCTCAGGTTCTCGCTTGTAGCCTGGGGACCCTCAGATCCTGGGTCACCTCTAACATTTGTGAAGCCCAGGACACTGATGTAGGAAAGACGTTAGGGTTCGAAGCCTACGGCCAAGAAAGAATTCTTGAGCCATCTTTGGTGCAAAAAAAGTGGTTTTATTAAAGCTTGGGGACAGGATCTGTGGGTGGGAAGCGCTGCCCCGGGGTCATGAGGAGCGGCCCATTATATGCTTTCAAGTCGGGAGGGGGTTAGGGAGAGTGTAAACCTCCCAGGTATTTTGGCAACGAGGTTTCCAGGGTCCTGAGGGGGCTAGCTGTGGTTGGGAAAAGGTCATTTACTACCGTCTAATAAAACCTGAGTCATGAGACCCTCCAGATGTACATCGGGGGGTCTTGTGCTCGGGGGATTACTGCCAGCATGTATCTTGGGGGCTTTAGAGATAAAGGAAGGTTCCAAAGGAATTTTTATGTTTTATTTTTTTTTAAAGATTTTATTTATTTATTTGAGAGAGAGGGAATGAGAGACAGAGAGCACGAGAGGGAAGAGGGTCAGAGGGAGAAGCAGACTCTGCTGAGCAGGGAGCCCAACGCGGGACTCGATCCCGGGCCTCCAGGATCATGACCTGAGCCGAAGGCAGTCGCTTAACCAACTGAGCCACCCACGCGCCCAGGAATTTTTATGTTTTAAAGTAGACTTACAGGATCCTGGGGGTCAAGGTAAGGTTGCCTTTTGCCCTCAGCAAAGTATCAACGTTGAGGCAGGTGAGTCCCTAGAGGAAGGTCACTCTGACTGTTTCAAGGACTTGTCCATGGGCTGTGGGTAGTAAGGAAATTTAGTAATTTTTCTTCTGCCTCTATTTCCCACATCAGACATGACCACAGGTGGAGACCCACATGCTTGTCTAAGTATTTAAAGCTTACATCTGTGCCTTTGAAGCCTGGCCTTGGTGCTTGCCCCAGGCGCCGCCCCCCCCACCGCCGCCCCCCTGCCCCGCCCCGAGCCCTAGATCACAGTGCTGAGGAGCTGCCTTCTCCCTGGTCAGGCCCTGGGAGTCCGAGCCATAGCACCAACTGTGGGACCAGGCCAGGATTCCTGGGGTGACTCCTGAGCGGGGGACAACAGGGGGCCTTCGTGGGCATTCCCTTAGCCATCCAAGGATTTCTAGGAATCCTCCAAACAGCTAACATAAGCAGAGGACAGGGCAGGCCCTCCCTGCCCGTGCTCTCTCTTTGAGTGGCTCTGAGAAACAGCCTCTGCACTTGCTGGGAGGCCCTCTGGGTCCAGGCACTGCAGGCTTTGGTCCCTCTGTCTGTGACATTGAGGTCAGTCCAAGAGGCTGGCCAGCTGGTCACCATCTCCCTGCCAAAATGTGGAGCGGCTCTGCGTCAGACTTGGGAAAGTGTGGCCGCGCCTGGAGAGCCCTGTGACAGGGCTGCTGTGGGCTGGATGCGAGAAGCTATTAGAGGGAGGGCTGGCCACCCACAAGATGCAGCGGGGGGTTCCTTTGATAAGACAGCCACCTGTGTGGAGGCTGCAGCCAAAGCCCAGGAAGATGGTTTACTGCTGCTGCAGTGGATTGGGGGGGCGGCGGGGGGGCGCATCCCAGGAAAACCTGGGCCAATGGGGGCCTCTCAGCTGCGAACCCCAAGGAAGGACTGAGCATAGGATTTGGGCTGTGGGAGTGATTTAGGGCAGGGTGGAGTGGGCAGGAGTTTGCGGATGGCGGGGCAGCCAGACAGCGTCTCCTCTCCAGCGCTGGTCCGGGCAGGTGGGTGGCGTGAGGCTGGCTGCTGCCGCCGGGGGAGGACAAGGAGCGGTCGTCCACGTGGGCCGGTGGGCGACGCCGGGGCCGCCTACCCTTGTTTTGTTTTCCTCCCAGACACGGAGACCCCTCCGCGACGGCTGACGTCCCGTGGGGTCGCCTGCAGCACCGGGGACCGCGACGGCGCGGCAGTGAGGGGGGCCGCTTTTCTCTCTCGCCGCCTCTCTGCCCATGGGCACGTGAGAGCCATGTCTGTGGTGTCGCCGCCGCCCTTTGTGGGCGTCTGCTTTGTGGCGAGGTGGCCTGGGGCCCGGGGGGCAGCAGCGGTGCAGGCAGTCATCGGACACGAAATGCCCGCCGGCCCTGGCCACGGGCCACAAAGCCGAGGGAGACCGATGGTCAGCACACTTTCCCACAAAGGGTCAGAGTTCATATTTTCAATCTCCTTTGGCTCTCGCCAGCTCCGCCCACAGCGCAGGGTCGGCAACGCCAGTGGGCAAGGTCATGGGCCAACCAAACTCTCCCGACGGGAAGCGGCAGCGGGCTGCACTCGGCGTGGGCCCCCCCCCCGCGGCACGCCCAGGACCCGGCGGGTGATGGCGGGCGGTTCTTCCGTGAGCCCGTTCCCCACGGCCCTGGAACGGAAGGATCTCCCGGGGCTGCGGCGGGGGCCCGAGGGTGGCAGGTCTTCTGGGTGGAGGTGGCAGCCCCCGGACTTCTGCCCAGATGTCCTCCCCCCCGGCACAGGGACGTAGGCCTGCCGTCGCGGGGCGCCACCCGGAGCGGGGTAGGCGGGGAGTGGCGAGGGTTTCTGGGGTGACCCACCCCACCCAGGAAAGAGCCCAGAGCGCCGCGCTTGCACGACCGGGGCGGGTGGGGGTGGGGGTCTGAGGATCTTTGCGACACTGGGCTTTCAGCAGGGGGGTCTCAGCGCGTCATTTGTTTTTTTAGGTTAGCCTGGCCGTACGCTGTACGGGGGGCATGGGGCAGGCAGGGGAGCAGGACCCTGCGGCAGATGTCCCAAGGCTCCCAGCAGCAGCCGGATGGAACACTCAGACCAGGGAGGGCGTGGGAATCCTGCTCAGCTGGACCGCCTTGGTGGCCCACGTGGATGGCGTTGTCTGGTGCTCGACTCTGCTCTGGTCCCCTTCATGGACGAGCCATCTCACCACTTCCTTGGGCCACTGAAAAGTATGTCTGGATGACAGGTGGACAGAGCCCCGTGTCTGCCTCATTCAGGGCAGCCACCCTTGTTGGGAAGGAGGCCTGCCATCCCTCCAGGTGGTGTGGACCCTTGTCCCTGGCGTGACATGTTCTGACAGTGCTCTGAGGATTGAAGGACAGCTGGACCCCCAGCATCAGGCCGCCGGCCCCCGCCAGACCTCCCTGGCCTGCTGATGGCCATGCTGGTGGGGAGCTGAGCCGAGTGGGGGCCATGGTGCCCAAGGTCAAGCGTGCAGGCGGGGCCTCCACGTGGTCTGTGTCCCCAGGCCCTGCGCTGCCCTGCCGAGTTCTAAACTGCCCACAGTCATCAGCTCCCACTGTCACCGGGGCTGGCCAGGCCGTGGCTGAGGTCAGAGGTGGCCAGGAAGGGGGTAAAGATGCCGTTGACCTCTGAGGTCCTTTCCAAACCAAGCACCAGACCTGGGAGCAGGGAAGGGGGTCGGGGGTCCTGCAAAATCTTGGTCGCCTTCATAATTTGCCTGAGGTTGGCCTGGCTGAAGAGGGGCGGGTTTGACCCGTGACCTCTGTTCAGGGCTGCCTGGGGCACTTCCCCTGGTGAGGTTCAGGCTGTGTCCCCGCAGGAGGTTCAGGGAGGTTGGCTGGAGGAGAGCGAGCCCACCCCTGCCCTCGGGGTCACGGCTGAGCTCAGGTCCCCGTTGGACACCCCCGCGGCCCCATCTCCTCTGCAGGAGCCCCCGAAGTGTGCTCTGGACACCGGGTCCTGAGAGACGCTGAGCAGCGTCAGAGTGGGGCGGGGGGGGGAAGGGGGCCCCCAGAAACAAGGGTGGGGATGGGCTGCTTGTGGAGGAAAATCCTCATCGGGAGCTGGATCTCGGGGCGAAGGGGGGAGGTGGCCCGTCCACGGGGCAGGCCTCCCGCAGCCGCACACACGCTCGAGCCGTGAGTGCTGAAGGCGAGGGTGGTCTGCCCTAACAGCGTTCCCAAGCTTCTGTCACCTAAATTTTGTTAGTTGAACCTGTTAGTCTCCTGTCAGAGCAAATGCATCTCTTGGTCCACACCCATGTTCCTGTTCGCAGGCTTGAGAGCCGGGCGCCCCCAAATACCGTCCTTGGGTCCAGGACTGCGGGAAGGGACAGGGTGCCCCTCGTACACATCGATGTCCCCAGAATTCCAATTCTGTCCAGCTTCAATTCGAGGGATCGCAGAGTCCCTTAACCACAGCCGTGAGTCCAAATGAGAGAAAACCAAACTTGCTTTAGATGAGAGACCACATATCGCAGATTCTGGATCAATAGAAGAGATGTATTGAGGGGCGCCCGGGTGGCTCAGTCGTTAAGCATCTGCCTTCGGCTCAGGTCATGATCCCAGGGTCCTGGGATCGAGCCCCGCATCGGGCTCCCTGCTCCGCGGGAGGCCTGCTTCTCCCTCTGCCACTCCCCCTGCTTGTGTTCCCTCTCTCGCTGTGTCTCTCTCTGTTAAATAAATAAATAAATCTTAAAAAAAAATAAATAAAAGAAGAGACATAATGAACAACAGTGAGAATATTCTACTTGCACTGTCTGGAAATCACATAAGATGAAAACTATTTACTAATAAGATCCACGTGTGTAGAATGTACATTTATAAAACAGTACCCTGAAATTACCATCTTATCAGGTCTCT